ATTCTGGGTTTATTTTTTGGCACATTTTCAAATGAGACATGTAGAATAAAGTGATTTTAATGAAATATCTTGATTTCAAACTTAGATTAGGAACATCATATCACCTATGAGTAGTTCAAGGACCATCAGAAAGTTGGAAATCCACTAATTCTTTCTGTGTTTTAGCTTTGACAAATGGTGCCTTTCTTGGGTCTTTGGTAAATTTTAAAATGAGACATGTAGAATAAACTGATTTTAATGAAATATCTTGAATTTAAGCTTCGAATCCGAACAGCATATCACAGATGAGTAGTTCAAGGACCATCAGAAAGTTGGAAATCCATAAATTCTTTCCGTTTTTACAGCTTTTAGCTTTGACAAATGATGTCATTTTTGGCTAATTTTGCTAAAGACAACCCACCTTTATCTGCGGATTCTGGATTTCTTGGCAAATTTAAAAATGAGACGTTGAATAAACTGATTTTGATTAAATATCTTGGTTTTAAGCTTGAATTAGGAACAGCATATCACAGATGAGTAGTTCAAGGACCATCAGAAAGTTGGAAATCCACTAATTCTTTCTGTTTTTACAGTTTCTGGCTTTGATAAATGACGTAATTTTGGCCATTTTTGGTAAAGACAACACACCTTTATGACTTATCTGTGGATTCTGGGTTGATTTTTTTGGCACATTTTCAAATGACACATGTAGAATAAAGTGATTTTGATAAAATATATCTTTATTTCAAACTTAGATTAGGAACTGCATATCACAGATGAGTAGTTCAAGGACCATCAGAAAGTTGGAAATCCATAAATTCTTTCCGGTTTTACAGCTTTTAGCTTTGACAAACGCTGTCATTTATGGCTAATTTTGGTAAAGACAACACACCTTTATTTAAGGTGTGTTGTTTAAGCTTGAATTAGGAACATCAAGTCACAGAAGAGTAGCTCTAGGACCATCAGAAAGTCGAAAATCACCAAATCACACATCATTTTCTCTCTTTTTCCTATTGTTTAATGTGCGTTTGCATCGCATTAAGCCCTCATTCTTGCTTCACGTTGGCCAGGAGGTA